CTACCTGCCGGCGGACAGGAACAGGGGCCACAAGAACAAGCTGGACGCCAAGTGGTTGACGGGCATCTACCTGGGCGTGCAGCTGAAGAGCCAGGAGCTGTACATCGGCTTGGAGTCGGGAGTGGCCAGGGCCAGGGCTGTCAAGCGGAAGGCCGGAGACGACCGCTACAATGGCGAGCTGCTGAAGAAGCTGCATGGCACACCATGGCGGCCAGTGCCAGGTGTGACCAAGGGCGGGGAGGGCGCGCCGGCGGCGCGATTCCCGATCGCGAAGGCGTCCGACGAGGCGCCTCTACCAGTCGAGCCGCGGGCACTGCGGCCGGGGACGGGTGCAGGGGGAGTCCCTGGACCGAGGCGAGTGCACATCCGCAACGAGGTGGAGATCAGGAAGTTCGGGAAGACCGAGGGGTGCATCGGATGCGAGAGCTACGCCCTGGGCTCCCCAGCTCGCAGCCACAGTGAGGCCTGCAGGGCGAGGATCACGAAGCTCATGGAGGATGTCTTCGAGACGAGGAAGCGAGTGGGGATGGCCGAGGAACGGCAAGGAATAAATAGGCCGGCTGAGAAGCAGGCGGTCGACGTGGAGGAGGCAACCGGAGGAGGCAGCGGCAGTGCGTCCTCTTCGGCTGCCAGACCGGCCGCAGCAGGGGCGGCAGCTGGGCAAGCTCAACCTGCTAAGCCTGGTCAAGATATTTCGGTATCGAGCGCGCTGGTCGACGCTGCGCTCGGAGGAGAGATCTTCACCAAGGGCTCAGGCTCGGGCGTGAAGAGGCAGGCCGAGGCGATGGGCGAGAGCTCGAGGACGACCTTGAAGCGGCTAGCTGATAGCCAAGGGCCGCAAGGCGTGGAAGGGGGCCATGGACGCCAATTTGTTGGGGGGGGGTCGAGGACCTCGTGAAGGATCTGGGCTTCTTCGGCGCGCGCGTGTCGGAGCTGTTCGGGCCGGGCAAGTTCGCCAGCAGGGCGGATCGTTCGGCCTCAACCCGGGGCACGCGTTCGATCTGCGCCTGAAGGGCGAGAATGGAGTGCAGTGGGATCTGTCGGACCCCGACCGACAGGCGCTGTGCGAGAAGATCATCGACTACGAGAAGCCGCACGTCCTGATTGGGTCGCCGATGTGCAGGGCGTTCAGCGCCATCATGAACCTGAACAAGGACCGCGACCCGGAGGAGTACGAGCGGAAGGTCATCGAGGGCATCAGGCACCTTCGATTCTGCGTGAGGCAGTGCAAGAAGCAGGTGCGAGAAGGACGCTACTTCCTGCACGAGCATCCTGATCAAGCTTGGAGTTGGAAGCTAGACTTCATGGTCGAGCTGATGGAGATGGAGGGTGTCTCACGCGTGACGGGGCACCAATGCTGCTTCGGCCAGCAGACGGTCGACTACGACGGCGAGATGGGGCTGGTCCTCAAGCCCGCCGGCTGGCTGAGCAACTCACCATGTATCTTGGCTGAGGTATCCCGTCGGTGCGAGAACGAGAGTCTGCCCGGGAGCCAGTGGCATGCTCATGCACCGCTGGTTGGCAGCGCGAAGACGCGACCGGCGCAGAACTACCCGCCGGCCCTAGTGGCGGCAATCCTCAGGGGCCTGACGGCCCAGCTGAGGGTCAACGGCGACCTGAGCGCGTTCACCGTGGGCGTCACCTGCGAGGAGGACGCCGTGAACTGGGACATGGAGGAGCACGAGGAGTTCCGCGATAATATCTCGGGCCAGCTGCTGGGCGCGAAGATGGTGCGGGCTGGCAGGGAGGAGGAGATCAAGTACATGGACGACATGGAGGTGCTCCAGGAGGCCCCGGAGTCTCTCTGTTGGGGGGGGGCCAAGGCGAAGCCCATCCCGGTCAAGTGGGTAGACGTCAACAAGGGCGATGCGGAGCGCCCGGAGATACGGTGCAGGCTGGTCGCAAAGGAGTTGAATAGCGCGCAGCAGAGGGCTGGGATCTTCCGGGATGATGTGTTCTCGGCGACCCCGCCGCAGGAGGGTGTCAAGATGCTGTTCAGCAAGATGATGAGCCGGAAGCGGGGCGACTGCCGGAGGCGCAAGCTGATGCTCATCGATATCAGTAGGGCGCACTTCCACAGTCCCGCTCGGCGACGAGTGTTCGTTCAGCTCCCTCCTGAACGGCACCGAGAAGGATATTGCGCGCTGCTGCTCAAGAGCATGTACGGTACGAGGGACGCAGCGGCCAACTTCGCTGACAAGGTGATGGAGGTGCTGCGCGAGATGGGTTTCAAGATTGGCGCATTCTGCCCGTGCCTGTGCAGGCACGACGAGAAGAACGCATTGTTGTTCTACCGCGGGGGCGACTTCGTGAGCGAGGGCGATGATGACGCTCTGGAGTGGTTCAAGACCGAGCTGTCCAAGCGATTGCTTGTGAAGGTTCGAGGAGTTCTTGGTTGGGATGACGGCGACCTGCGGGAGATCACGCTGCTCAACAGGATCGTCAGGCTAAACGAGACCGCGGCCGGCGCACCGCGTTTGGAGTGGGAAGCTGACGCCCGTCACGTCGAGATCGTCACGAGCCAGCTGAAGCTCGGACTCGACAAGGGCAGCAAGGCGGTGACATCGCCAGGCATCAAGAGGACGGCGGAGGAGTTGCTTGAGTCTCCTCCACTTGGTGCTGCGGAAGCGGCGCTGTACAGGAGCGTCTGCACGCGCATCAACTATCTCGCGATGGACAGGATCGACCTGCTCTACGCGGCGAAGGAAGCGGCCAGGTGGATGAGCAAGCCGACCGAGGTGGCCATGGAGATGGTGAAGAGGATCGGACGCTACTTGTTACGCCGGCCGAGAATAGTGCAGAGGTTCATCCAGCAGGACGAGCCGGACGTGATCACGGTAGCCTGCGACTCAGACCATGCGGGCTGCGTGCTGACAATGAGGAGCACTACTGGAGTTGCACTTTATCATGGAGCTCATCTGCTCAAGGCGACCGTCAACACTCAATCTGTGATTGCCTTATCGAGTGGCGAGTCGGAGTTTTATGCGATTGTTCGAGGGACGAGCGTGGGACTGGGCGCTCAAAGCATGTGCAAGGACTACGGCATGACGAAGGGCCTAGTCATCGAGACGGATGCGACAGCCGGGCGTGGCATGGCGCTCAGGCTTGGTGCCGGGAAGGTGCGGCACTTACATACACAGTATCTATGGGTTCAAGCGATCTACCACGAGAAGCCTGCGAAGTTGAATAACGTTCCAGGCGAGCTCAATACCGCCGACCTGATGACGAAGCACCTGAGCGGCGACAAGATCGATTTCTTCATGGACAGGTGCGGGTTTGTGATTCAAGAGGGTAGAAGTGAGCTGTCCCTGAGGGCAGCGGTTTAGTCACGACTTGGGCCGGAGGTTCGGCCGAGGAAAGATGTGAAGGCGCGAGGGCGCCTGCTTGCGTTTTAATGCCTGCTGTTCGGCGGCGGCGCGAGGGCGCCTGGCCGAGGAGGAGTGTAGCAGTGCATTCTTCATAACCCTTGGTAAGGAACTGTGAGGAACTGTGAGGGGCGGGTTCGCTCCATAGTCGTGTTGGTTCAAAACCATCCAGTCAGTGAGCATAATGATGCTGCTTATCGTCCTGACGATGACGACGACGCGTATAATGATGATGGTGTTGATGGTGATACTGATGCTGCTGATGCTGATGATGCTGATACTGGTGCGGGTGCAGTTTCTGGAGGTGAGCAAAGTGATGGTGGTGACGACGATGATGGTGATGAGGGGTAATGATGATGGTGGTGGTGATGCTGATGATGTAGATGGTCATGATGATGCTGATGATGATGATGATGTTAATGAGGATGGTGGTGATGCTGATGATGGTGTTGATAAAGCTGCTGGTGCGGCTGGCGATGGTAATGTTGTTTGTGCATGATGTGGATGATGGTGATGTTGATGCTGATGATGATGCTGCTGATGATGATACCGACGATGGTGCGTATGTTGATAATGATGCTGTTGGTTATGGTGGTGACGATGGTGATGATGCGTACATGGCGAGATGAAGATGATGATGACGATGCGGATGATGACGATGATGATGATGGTGGCGGTGATGGCGATGGTGATAGAGATTAGGAAAATGATAGTGGGAAGGTGCATGATGATGGATGATGATGATGATGATGATGTTGATGATGATGATGGTGGTGAAGCTGATGACGCTGATGATGATGATGAGGAGGAGGAGGAGGAGAAAGAGGTGGAGGAGGCTGCTGATGCTGGTGGCGAGTCGCTCCCTTGGTGCCCACCGTGGCGCATATGGTGCCCACCGTCCAGGTTCCGGCGTCGGCGCGGCCAGCAGCGGGAGCAGGGACGCGACATGCGCGGCGCACGCGCGAGGCGCAGACTAGCGGGGGCGAGAGAGGGGGGGGGAGACGGGGGAGGCGTCGACCCGGCAGAATGCCCACAGATCGCCGATCGGGGCCTGGTCTCCCCACCCTGCCTCCGAGGCTCGCAGCACTGCTGTCGGGGCGCCCCGCTGCCTGGGTGCGGCCTGGCCGATAGCACCCCCTGGTCCAGCCCCCCTCCCCCTCCCCCCTCTTCGCCGTCCTCACAGGGTCAGCTGAAGGAGGAAGGGGAGGAGGGAGGGAGGGGGGACTGTCTCCGGAGGTCCCCGCCGGCGGTCTCCACAGGCCCCAGGAAGCCCCGAGGCCCTTGGAAGCTTAACATGGTCTGGAGTGTGCAAGGATACCCCTCCTCCAAACTCGAGTATGGAGGAGCAGGAGCAAATCTCGAAAGAGAATCAGGTTGGTGCTCAGCGGCGCTCAAGGCTGCCCAAGTGGGGTCCGAGCCAGTAGGTTGTCGGAGGATCGCGCCGCGTTGCCGATACATCGGCGATGCGGTTCGATTTGGAGCCCGATTTTCTGTATTCCGACGTCGCCGATGTCTCGCCGACGCGCCGCATACGCGGCACCATCCAACACAATCTATTCGGACCCCACGGAGGTGACTTCCAGCCACGGTGGGCGGAGCATAACGAAGTCGGGCCGCGCGGGTTGCCTCCCGAAGGTCGGTCGTGAACGTGAAGGGGTCCGTGCCGAAGGCGCCCCTCGGCGGCGGCGGAAGCGGCACACGTCCCCGGACTTGCCCGTGCGTGCTTGGCTCGGAGGAGGTTAAGTCCACATGGGGTACATCCATACGGAGCGCTCGCTTTCCGCATAGGGGGCTCATTCCAGTTGGGCATCTCTTGAGAGGAGGCTCAGTCCATAAGGAGTAAGTCCATGCGGAGTGCTCGGTCTCCGTACGGGATTCCTCCGTCTGGACAAAGCCTTTTCTGACTGGCATTACTCGTCTCTTGCATCGTTGGTGCTGGCCCTCGCATGTCCCCCCAGTGCCGCGGAGATAGGTGCCCAGTCATGGGTGTTTGAGGGTGGCAGGAAAGCAGCAGGCACACCGTTGCTTCGCGCATGAGTTCGCTGAGCATCAATCCGAGCCTGGGTTTACTGAGTGCCCATCTAGTGGCGCTTAGCCTCACAGTGCTCGTCTCTTGCATCACGTCCGCCCAGTTCTCCCTCCCTCCCTCCCTGCCCCCCTCTCCTCCATCCTTCGTGCCTCCCTCCCCCCTTCTGGCCCTTCAGGACTCGAGGGTCGACGCTTTTGGACGCTCTTGCACGCGCTCCGAGTCCTGAAGGCCTGCACAGGCTTCCAGGGTGCCTCCGCATGTGTCACACGTCGTGCCACCCTCCTCCTCCTCCTCCTCCTTCTCCTCCTCCTCCTCACCCTTTATCCCTTCTCGTGCCATATCAAGTCTTTTTTCCCTCCATCAGAGGAGGCTGACTGTACACCCGCATCGATCCCTGGCCCATTGATGGGCCTGACCAGCAGTGTGGCTGTACACCTGACTCCCGCCGCCCTCCATCCTAAGCCCTCCTCCTTCTCCTGCTCCCTCCTCCCTCCTCCCTCCTCCTCCTCCTCCTCCTCCTCCTCCTCCTCCTCCTCCTCCTCCTCTCCGCACCCTCCTCCGTAGCCATTTTGGCTCAAGATGGGTTGCTCGGGGGGCTTTCAGCCTCCGTGCTTCACTGGATCGCACTACCGTGCGCAGGCAAGAGTGTGTGCACTCTGGCAGTCGGGCGGCCTCCTTCCAAACTCACGCGCGCCATGGCGGGGAGCGGCGGTGTGGGTGCTGGGCGTGGGGGAGGCGGCCGTGCGGCGTGGCCTGCGAAGTGGAAGTGCTCGGTGTGCGACTACTACAACTTCGCCGAGAGGGCGTGCTGTCGCAAGGGGTGCCAACCTGCGGGGTGGCCAGCGCCGCGGCAGCTGGGCGCCTTTCCTCCGCTGCGTGGGTGGCATGCAGGCGGCGGCGGTGGTGGTGTTCCTGGCGGCGCTGGCGGCGGGCTCGGCGGGCGTGGGGCTGGCGGCGGCAAGCCTCCCACTCGTGCCCCGTGGTGGCGTGGGGGAGAAGGTGGCGGCCGTGACGCTGGAGGCGCCGTGGTGCTCAGCGAGGAGCAGCGCTGTGGCTTCGTGTGCATGGCAGAGGCCGACTTCGCCCTCGCCGCCGCGCTCCTGCCCCCGAAGGTCCGCGAGCAGCTGCTGCAGGCGCGGAGGCTGCGTGAGGGCGGGCTGGGGGCCGAGCTGTCCAAGGACAAGACGGTCAAGGCGGCCCAGGTGCTGGCGGACGCCAAGGTCGTGCAGGTCAAGAAGATGGAGGGCCTGCTGGAGCAGGCGAAGGCCAAGGCGGTGGCTGCCATCAACGAGTCGGCCTGCCTCGCGGACAAGTTGGTGCTGCTGCGGAAGGAGTGCGACGAGGCGGCGGCCAAGGCACGGGAGGCGCTGGCGGCTCAGCGCGCCAGGATGGCGGCCGAGGAGGCTGAGGCGGCGGCAGCTGCCGATGAGCCGAGAGCAGCACCAGCGGCCTCCCTGGAGTCGATTCAGGAGGCGATCGGCCGCCTGTCGAGGGACGAGATCGCGAAGCTCGGGAAGGTGCTGGCGGAGCTCAGTGGCCTGCCTGGCGCGGCCGCCGCTGCGGGGCGCCCCCCCGTGCGCCTGTGGCTGCGGCGGCCCCCGTGCCCTCGGCGGCGCCTGCAGCTGCGCAGCAGGTGGGCGCTCCCAAGGAGGAGGGGCCTGGCGTGTCGCAGGCGGTGCAGCAGGTGTGGCAGGACATCGCGTGCGGGATGGAGGACCCCGCCAAGAGGGAAGCAGCCGAGCAGCTGCTGGGTGACGCCAAGAAGATGCGGACGGAGGTCAAGCAGATGGAGGAGGAGTCCTAGCATGAAGTGCGGGGTCTGGAGGATCTGCACCGTCAACATTAATGCGTTCAGCAACCTGGGCAAGTGCATGGCGGTGAGCGAGGTGCAGGACTGCGACGCCATTCTGGTCCAGGAGACGAGGCTCCTGGAGGGCAGGAGCAGTGACGCGGAGGCGCAGCTTCGAAGTCAAGGATGGAGGGCGAGAGGCACGCCCGCGGTGCCGTCAGCGGCAGGAGGCCTCAGCACAGGAGGCCTCCTCACCATGGTGAGGAGGAGCCACGGCATGGCGGAGGTGCAGGACCAGCAGGCAGCGGTGCTGGTGGCTGGGAGAGTGCACCTGTGTTGGGTGTCGGGCGTGCTGCGCAGCGGCTTCCTGCTCGCCAACATCTACCTGGAGGCGGGGGTCGGCCTCAACGACAGCAACGTGTCCAGCCTCAGGAGGCTGGCAAGGAGGTTGAGGCAGTGCCGCAGGGACTTCGTAGTGGGCGGTGATTGGGACCTCACGGAGGAAGAGCTGCGGGCAGGCGGGGTGCCCGACATGTTCGATGGCAAGGTGGTCAGGCCTGCATCGCCCACGTGCGCAGCATCAGGGAGGACCATCGACTTCTTCCTGGTTTCCAGGGGGCTGGCTGCGTTGGGGGTGCGGGTTTTGGAGGCCTCGCCAGTGTACCCGCACTCGGCGGTGATTCTCGAGATCCGCAGGCAGCAGGAGGAGGAGCGCTTCAGGCTGGTTCAGAAGCCGCGGACCTTCCCTGAGGTTCGACCACAAGGGTGCTGTGAGAGGGACCACGGCAGCAGCTGGAGGCAAGCCAGGCTGAGGGTGCAGGAGCAGCTCGCCTCGGCGCTGAGGGTCGAAGGCGAGGCCGCGGCGAGGAGCGCCCCACGTGCCGAGGAGGAGGCCCCTCAGCCCAGCAGCAGTGGTGGCGCAGCAGGACAGAGTGCAGCAGGGCAGGGGCTTCCCAGGCCAGTGAAGGGCATGGGGGATGTGGGGATGGTTGCGGCGGAGAAATGGGGACCGCTAAGCAGCGTGCTCCCGATCGCACCTGCGCTGCCGGCTTGCGTGACGGAGGTGAACCTGATGAGGTGCTGCGTCCAGCATGGCGAGGAGTGGCAGGGCGCCCTCGGCAACTGCGGGCTAAGGCGAGAAGCTGGCGCGGACGGGCACGGCGCAGCACCAGGCGCTGAGGACCAGCCAGAGCGCCTCGGGGCCCTGGCGCCAGGAGCGCAGGGCGCCGACGCGGCGGACAGAGAAGGCAGCGGCGCGGCGGGCAGCGCTGCGCAGGTGGCGCGGGCGGACACACCTCCCCACGCTGGGACTGGCAGTGCACCTCCGAGCCAGGCACTGTACGGAATAGCAGGTTGGCCCTTTCAGGTTGATGCGGCTGAAGGAGTGCGCGTGAGGCCCCCCGGCCTCTGGGTCGAGAAGAGGCAGGCGACCTCTGCCGCCGAGGAGGAGGCCGCTCAGCTCAGCAGCTGCGGTGCAGCACCTCGCGGCGAGGTCCAGACAGCGCACCTCGAGGCTCGGGCGCCAGGAGCGCATGGGGCCGACGCAGCGGAGAGAGAGGGCAGCAGTGCCGAGGGCAGCGCTGCGCAGGAGGAGCAGGCGGACATTCCTCCCCATGCTGGGACTGGCAGTGCACATCCGAGCCAGGCACCGTACGGAATCGCGGGTAGTCCCCTTCGGGTTGTTGCGGCTGAAGGAGTGCACGTGAGGTCCCCCAGCCTCTGGGTCGAGAAGAGCCAGGCAGCCTCCGCGGCGGGGCAGGCCCAGCACCTGCAGCAGGGCGTGCGGGCACAGGGCGCCGCGGGGGAGGGGGCTAAGGGAGCCCTCACAGCCGCCTTCGCCACCTTCCTGGAGTGCGCGGAGGACGAGTGGGTTGATGTGTACCAGCTGGAGGAGCAGAGGGCCAGGTACGTTGGTAGAGCGGACGGCGTCTCCACCAAGCTGGTCAGGCGCAGCGGGGTGCAGGGCCCCAGGGCGCCGAGGCTCACGCCTGAGGCAGCGTGGATGGCCAGGGTGGCACACGCGCTGGGAGCCATGGCGCAGCTGAGAGCACCAAGGGCCAGGGTCGACGCGATCTGCCACTTACCCCAGCTGGTGGCGGCGGTCCCGAGGAGAGTCAGGGAGCTGCAGCAGGACGAGGAGGCCCGCTTAGGAGAAGGAGACGGCACCTCCTGCAGCATGGAGGCGGGGCGCTGGCTGAGGATGCTGCAGCGTGGGGGCCTGGCGTGCTGGCACCCACTGCTGCTCGAGAGGCTGGCCGACCGCGCGAAGCAGCACGCCAGGCACCTCGCCAAGCGCGATGTCGACGAGAGGGGCAGGCAGTTCGACGAGTGGGTTGGCAAGCAGCTCACAGGAGGAGCGGCAGGGCTCCACGCGGTCACGCGAGTGGCGGTGGGCTGGCAGGGCAGCGACTGCAGCAGTGATGCTGGACCCGCCAGCCTGAGCAAGGAGCTGGACGCCCTTGAGAAGGAGTGGAGCAAGATCTGGAGGGTGCAGTGCAGCCACGCTGAGTTGGAGTGGCCGACCGATCTAGGTGAGCGCCCCCCCAGGCCCAGCTGCGAGGTGATGCGGGCAGTTCTGAGGTCCTTCAGGAAGGGCACGGCCACGGGCTTCGAGGCGATCAAGCCGAGGCAGCTGCTGGAGCTCAGCGACGAGGGGATTGAGACCCTCATCGACATCGTGGTGGCGGTCGAGCAGGCCGCGGAGTGGCCGCAGATCCAGAGCAAGATCGTGTTCTTAGCCAAGAGGCTGGGCGGTGTGCGCCCCGTGGCCATCGTGCACGTCCTCGCGAGGGTGCAGACGAGGTTACGCAAGCCCCTGGCGGAGGAGTGGGAGCGCAGGAATGATCGACCG